GGGAGGAGGGAGGAGGAGAACAAGGAGCAGGAGTGGGGAGAGGGAGGAGGAGGAGGAAAAAGGAGGAGTGGGGAAAGGGAAGAAGGAGGAGAAGAAAAAGGAGGAGGAGATGGATGAGGAGAACGATGAGGAGTGGGGAGGAGGGAGGAGGAGAACAAGGAGCAGGAGTGGGGAGTGGGAGGAGGAGGAGGAGGAGGAGAAGGAGGAGAACAAGGAAGAGGAGTAGGGAGGGGGAGAAAGAGGAGGAAGAAGGGGGGAGAGACACACAGAGAGAAAAAAACGCTACCTTGGATCTGAAAATCCTCCTCAAAGCATTTTCTGTTGAGGGCAAATTCGGGTCCCTCCGTGTAGCTGTAGAGTTCTGTTCAGGAAAGATTCCCCCCCCCAAAAAAAACCCAGGGAGAATTAATTAATAGCTGCCTTCCAATTATGCCCCCCCTCGCAATCGAGGCCATCCTGCAGCAGCAAAGCTCAGGGCACCGGGTTCGAATCCCTCCTTGGTTCCCAAACCCACCCTGCAAGCCGGAGGCACCATAACGGGTGGGTAGGTGGACCACAAGAACTTCCTCCTTCTGCTACTTGTGTTCCCCCCCCTCCACCCCCCTGAAGCAGGGGTAGTCCACCTTGGCTCTTTTATGACTCGTGGACTTCAATTCCCAGAATTCCTGAGCCAGCTTAGCTGGCTCAGGAATTCTGGGAGTTGAAGTCCACCAGTCATAAAAGAGCCAAGGTGGACTACCCCTGCCCTGAAGTGACATCTAAGCGTAAATCTCCAGGCTTGCCAAATCCCTGAGCATTTTCAGGCAGCGTCCACCTCCAGGAAAGTCGGCTGCGTTCTTTTCAGCCCAGGTGAAGAACCTGGATGCGTCCAAGACCTTCTTACCTGCCAGCTCCGCTGCGTGGCTGTCAGCATCTCCGTACTCAAAATCCAGGTTAGGACAATCTATGGATCCCTGCAGGAGAAGGTCCATCTTAAGAGAGGCAGGCACACCAGATCGTGATTTTGCATGACCCAAGAGAGCAAGGGTCTCCAAACTCAGTAACTTTAAGACTTGCGGACCTCAACTCCCAGAATTCCCCAGAATAGAATAGAATTGGAATGGAATAGAAAATAGGGAATAGAATAGAAAATAGGGAATAGAATTAGAATGGAATAGAATAGAATAGAACAGAATAGAATAAGAATGGAATAGAATAGAAAATAGGGAATAGAATAGAATAGAAAATAGGGAATAGAATAGAATAAGAATGGAATAGAATAGAAAATAGGGAATAGAATAGAATAGAAAATAGGGAATAGAATAGAATTAGAATGGAATAGAATAGAAAATAGGGAATAGAATAGAAAATAGGGAATAGAATTAGAATGGAATAGAATAGAATAGAACAGAATAGAATAAGAATGGAATAGAATAGAAAATAGGGAATAGAATAGAATAGAAAATAGGGAATAGAATAGAATTAGAATGGAATAGAATAGAAAATAGGGAATAGAATAGAAAATAGGGAATAGAATAGAAAATAGGGAATAGAATAGAATTAGAATGGAATAGAATGGAATGGAATAGAATATAGAATAGAAAATATGGTATGGTATGGAACGGAATGGAGTGGAACAGAACAGAATAGAAAAGATGGGATGGGATGGAATAGGAATAGAATAACAGAGCTGGAAGGGACTTTGGAGGTCTTCTAGTCCACCCCCTGGAACAAGCATGAAACCCTCTACCATTCCAGACAAATGGCTGCCCAGTTTCTTCTTAAAAAAAACCTCCAGTGATGAAGCACCCACAACTTCTGGAGGCAAGGAGTTCCACTGGTTAATTGCTCTCACTGTCAGAAAATTTCTCCTTAGTTCCAGGTTGCTTCTCTCCTTGATGAGTTTCCATCCGTTGCTTCTTGTCCTGCCCTCTGGTCCTTTGGAGAATAGCTTGACTCCCTCTTCTTTGGGGCAGCCCCTGAGATATTGGAAGACTGCTATCACGTCCCCCCCCCGGTACTTCTTTTTTCCTGGGACTTGGCTTTAAGAGAACACGGCATGGATCCCGGAACCTGGAACTTCTCTAATCTTTTTTCTTCCTTCCAGCTGCGCAATGAAAGGCTGAATCCCAGCGTGCCGTGAACATTCAAACCCACAGTGGATTCGAACTCCTGCCTGGCATTATTATGCTGCCCGCCTCCAGACATGGTGGGGGCTCCCAATCTTGAGTTCCCACCCAACCTGGCTATTCTCCAAAGCGCCTGAGGGCAGGACAAGAAGCAACGGGTGGAAACTAACCAAGGAGAGAAGCAACCTGGAACTAAGGAGAAACTTCCTGACAGTGAGAACAATTAACCAGTGGAACAACCTGCCTCCAGAAGTGGTGAATGCTCCAACACTGGAAGTTTTTAAGAAGAGACTGGACAGCCATTTGTCTGAAATGGTGTAGGGTCTCCTGCTTGAGCAGGGGGTTGGACTAGATGACCTCCAAGATCCCTTCCAACGTTATTATTATTATTATTATTATTATTATTATTATTATTATTATTAGAACCTGGTGAGAGGGAAAGGAAGGCTATTTTAGAAGACCCCCCCCCCCAAAAAATTAATCCAGCTGCAATGCAAGGAACGGCCACAGGGAGGCAGCGGAGATGCATCGCTAGGAAGGAGCGCCAGCCCTCCCCTCACTCCTAGGTCAGACCCCCAGCCCATGGAGCTGCCTTGCTGATCCACTGCTGACCCACAACTGGTGCCAGGCTTCTCTCTAGGGCGGGGGCCCCCTTCGCCAAGGCGTGGGGCCAATCTTTGCCAGCCTTTGCTCAGAGGGGTAACTCCTCTTCCTCCCCCCCTCCCCTGGCAAAAGCCTAAAAAAGTGAATTTATCAGTGTGTGTGTATGTGGGGGGGGGGTATTTTTCTGCCCTTCCATAGGGCAGCTGGGGGGGGGGGAGAGGAAGGACCGGCCCTGGCACCAGCAGAGGGCAAGCGGCACCGGAGAGACCACCCAGCGGAGCCAAGTGGTTCCAATTCAGCCTCTTGCTGAGGGGGCAAGGAAGGGGGCGAGAGGGGGAGGGTCCCTAAGGGGCAGAGCAGCGGAGGAGAAATGCCAGGGAGGGGCTGCAGCAAAGCCCCCCTCCTCACCCTTCCAGGCACCCCTCACCCTTCCAGATCCCCCTCCTCACCCTTCTAGGTCCCCCTCCTCACCCTTCTAGCCCCTACTCATCCTTCTAGGTCCCCCTCCTCACCCTTCTAGGTCCCCCTCCTCACCCTTCTAGCCCCTACTCCTCACCCTTCCAGGGCTCCCTCCTCACCCTTGGTCCCCCCTCCTCACCCTTCCAGGTCCCCATCCCC